ACACATACCTTCCCTTTCAGGTATATAGAGAATACACTCACTGGAATGGGATGAATTGCTAGCATCTCTGAGGATTATGTTATAATGCTAAACAAACCCAAGTTAGGGCTGATAGACACAATATTTTCCAATGGTCACCACAGCTTCCATTAGAAAAAGCAGGGTTAACTCTGACACCTCTTGTGACCATTCTCTTGGAAACTACAATAGGTAATGAGAAATGTCAAGTCCCAAGATCAATGAAATTTCAGGCTCTAGGGAAAAAACAGGAATAGCACTGATCCTTTTAAAGAATACCAGTCAGAGGGTGAATGTAAGATATTGCACAGAGAGGCTCAAGAGGACAAGCGGCCAAGTCCAACATACTTACCTGACGAAAAATTCAATCAGCTTTTAGCACAAGCTGCCTACCCTTCCTTTCTCTCATGCAGGAGTCTGATTCCAATTAAAGTGTGCAAATTAATTTTTATCACTTCCAAATTAGTTTCTGAATTTGTGTCTGTTTCAGATGAAAGCATCTGTCCCTCACTTTTCTGCCGTTCTATCATCCACTTTGGTATCTGTTCAAAGACTCAGAGATAATTCTCATTTTCAAAGTCACTTGTTTGAAAGAGCCATTCAATAAAGCAATCATAAAATATAAAAATAAAACAACTATAATGATACATGTTGAACTCCAGGGCATATCTTTTTGCTCCTTTTTTGTGATGACTAATACAGTTGCTATGTGAGAAGAAATTTGTATACAAATTAGCTCTCACCTAAAACAAATCCCTATATAACATAACAGAAAAAAAACCAACCCCAAACTGTCAAACTCCACCACAAGAATTTTTCTATTAAGTCTTCTAGAACTGAAAAGACTGCATTTGCCTGATCACTTCAAAGAATTAAAATAAGCAAACTATGTCCTTTGTATGTGGCATCTCTTCCTAAGAGAAAACAGATTCTTTCAACTGTTCTCTCAACTGCAGCAGATTTATATAATGTCGTCATCAATTTAATAATGTGTAGATTCAGATTACCTATTTCAGATGGGCAAATTTGGCTTAGAAAGTAGGTATCTGACCCTGGCAGGATGACTAAGCTTCATTCAGCTCAGTATTCTTCCCAAAGGTGGTACTTATCTAAGCCAGGATAAAGGGGGAGATAAGGGGAGGCTCAAGCATACATAAAACACAAAAACCTGCATTCAACTCCCCTTCAGCCTAAAGGATTTCATGCCACTTCTGCCACTTTCCAGCAGCATCCCCAGGCACCAGTGTCTAGTTTAGGCTGGAAAAGGACATTTTCTATCACTGCTACTGAGGCTTTTGCCATTGCATAGGCATGAAACCAATTTTTGTTGGACCAGAGAAAGTAAAAGTAAGGAGATGATTTGCCCAACATACACTGTTGAAGGTATGCAGTTTTGGTTCTTGATTTTTTTATTTACCTCTATTTTTATCCAGTCATCATGTCACGTAAGATCCATAAACGTGCAGAGAGAAGAATTTTGCTTTCCATGAAAGCTGGAGGTTCACAGGGGGCCCCTCCCACATTAATTTATAGCCTGATAGTCACCATATCCTTGTGGACATGGGAATGTAGGCTTGAATTCCCCTAGTCTCTGGAGGCCAAGAATTTAGTCTCCCACTTCATGGCCAAACATTATAATCAGAAGGTTTTTTGCAAGCTATTTTTGAAAGCTACTCCATGTGTAACACTGTATTTAAAATCTGGTAAAATGTCAGTCTTCTTAGAGCAATTGTGAATAGTGTCAAGACATTGTGAAAAGTGCAAACTGAACCAGAAACTCCTTTTTGGTACTTACTGTAGAATAAAGGTGATAACTTAATAAACACATTGATTGGAACAATTATTTTAAAATCATAAAAGGAAGTTCACCATGCTCTCGTAGGCAAGTTTTCAGCTACTGAGCTGGAGCAGCCACTTGCAAGAGTCTTATTCAAGACATATTTTTCTCCATTCTCCTCAGAGCTGGTTTTGTACTTCCCACAGACAAAGCTGAAGTCCCCCTCTGAGCACATGCCCATACAAGTATTTCAGCAGAACCTCTATGTGAGTCCAACAGGTTAGATTATTGACATATGTGCTGTTTAGTAAAGTTTTTATCTAACTCATGGATCCTGGAATTTATTTATTTAAGGAGTTTACTCTGACAATTTTTTGCCCCAGAGTATTTCACAATAAATTATTGTAATTGCTATGTTGTCTAATGAAATAGTATCTATATTATTCTATACAAGTGTTAAACTACATAAATTGTTTAGGACTGGGGGCCTGCTTTCCCTCCCCCCTTAACATTTTCTAAAACAACTAAAGTTCCTTTTGGTAATTGGATGCATTGAAGCTGAAATTGATAATTAACTGTCCTTCAGCTTAAAAGATCATTATAAAGTCAAGCATCTAACCCAGATAATTACTATACCTGACATTTTTCTTTGAATTCTTCACCTTCTTACAGTCTGTGATATAAAATACCTTATCTGTGTCTCCAGATGACAGCTTTTAAAAAAACTAATCCTTTTTTTTTTTCCCCTGAAAATAAAATCTACACCTTTCTGGAAGTTCATTCCAAAGATGTTAACTAATTGGATTTGACCTACAGTGAACATCTCACTTTCATTTTTCCTACAAGGTAGATTCTAATCTTCTACCAGCAAGTCTAGAAGAGTAGATTAGGAAATACTTCTTTACCACTTTGGCAGTTTAAACCATGTAAAACTTGAAATATATTTTCATAAGGATTGTTGAGAATGTTTCACTCCTGAAAATTAGTATACAGGGAATTAGTCATACAACAAGCTATCCTGTCTCTTCATGATAGGGAACAGCATCTAGGAGCTATTACTACAGCAGAAAGATTTAGTAATTGTAGAAGTTTTAAAAGGCAGAAGGTGCTTCAGGTATACAATCACTAACGTGACCTGTCCTTACTGATGTATATTCATGAAAAGTAAAAGTAAATGTTAATATGTTTAAAACATATGAAGTTCTGGTTACAGTAGGGTACTAGTACACAATTAGCATATTCAATTTAACTTTAATCCAATGAGTACAGATAGCAATAATAGTGATGACATCACTCCTCCTCAACATGAGCCTTCAGCATGTCTTTACCATTGAGTAGTAAGAAGTTTGATCAGTATATTTGGAAGCTAGCACCACAGACTTAGCTGTTTAATCTTCCTGGGTGCTGCTACCAGTACCTGTGAGGTTACATTTGCCTGGACATGAACGCAGCACATTCTCTCATTAATCTCACTATAAGGCCTTTTCTTCAGCAAAACAGTGCCTTATCTGTATACAGGTAGAGATAGAGAGCAAATCACGTGATTGTTTTTTGTTTTCATTGACTTCTGTCAGCCAACTGACAGACTCTTTTCATAAAATTAAAAGTTCTCCAAGGCAGACACTTCCAAAGTTATGCAACTGAGATATTAAGCCTGAGATTCCAAAAAGTGCCACTTTTTTTGCATTCAGATATGTTCATGATGACAAAAAGGTATCAGAACTAAAATAAATACATGTGCAAGAGAAGTGGAGTGGTTTGTATCAGCCTGTCAGGAGATGTTAATGGCAAGTCCCACATTGTCAAAGGAAGTAAAGGAAGGGTCTTACATTTTGGATGCAATGAAAGGAGCAAGCTCTTACTTTTTTCTGACTCTTAGCAAGCATAGAAATTACTAATACTTGATATGAATCACACAGGCACTCAAATAAGCAAAATGGCATCCAGCCAAACAGAGTGCCTTGACATGAAATTTCTTTTCAGACTGAATTTCTCCCTTTCTGAAAATAAAGTGCTAAAAAAGCCCTGGAATATACATAAAATTAGAGAAATTAGTTATGGAAACACAATTTTTTTCCCCCTGCCCTCCATTCTCTCTCAGTTATAAACACAAAAGAAAGGTGAGAAAGTGAGAGTTTTATCTGTCTGCCCTGTGCTCTGCTACAGACAAATGGAAGAAAATTAAAGCACAATAAAAAATCTGCTGCTGCAAAATTAACGAAATATTTTCTTTGTAACAAACAAAACCCTTTTCTACCAGACATTCAGTTTATGAAATACTTTCACTTAGATGTCTGTAACTGACAGGTCTACAACTGCCTCCAGTCACTACTTGAACCAGAGATTAAAATTGATAGTGATGGATTTTTATGTGTTTATCTTAAAAAGCAATATCCTTGTGCTAAAAATAATAATCAGAATTCAGAAACTGCTTTTAAAGAAATGGATTTAGTGTTATACAAAAGAGCTACAGTATATGGATAAAAGTTGCTCCTGTCTTTAGCTGTGCTTACATTTCTGGCTTGGGTGAAGGGACTTTGTAAACCAGTAGTGCACCCTAAGTGACCTCTTATATAAATTTATATTATTGTTATTATTGTGTCCCCTTCACTCTGCAAAGTACTGATAGTTAGTCCCCTGCAAATGAAATGTAAACTCTTCCTGACATTTCATCTTTTTCTATTTTTATTCAGCCACATTGCTTCTCCAAAGGTTTGCTTGCTATAGAAAGACCTTTCTCAACAATACTCATTTAATTCCATGGCATGTGAGACATTCCTTTTTGTAAAAGACAAGCAGCTGATACAGCATGCGGTAGCACAGAAGAAGTAAGTTAACATGCCAAAAAATATATCTGGGGAAAGGAAAGTCAAAATATAGTGATATACATCCTGTGACTTAAAGGCCATAACCATCTTGTTCTAGTTTATGATGACATGATGCTATAAGTGATAAAGGCAATTATGAATTTCAGAACTACTCCCATACTATTATCTGTTACCATGCACAGACAGTTGAAACATTTTTTTTGGCTACTACTCAATGAATTGCTTTGCACGTAGTGCTCTTATACCGACTTTCAACCTGTAAGTTCAGTAATTGATACTTTTGGTAATACCTTCTGAAGCTGACATAAGAAATGCTAAAAATGAATAGGTGTGGCAGAGGACCTCTGAGGAAGGTGTTTTTTACAGGATATACTTACTGCTATTTGGATTGTCACCTATAATATGATGTCGGCCACTCCAGTACCAAAGCAGCAACGTAGCATCACGAGACCCAGACACGATGTAGCAATCACCACCGATATAGGACTCTGATCTGGCAAGGCAAGTCACAACGTCCCAGTGGCCAAACACAATCTGAGTTAGTTTGCCTGGTGGGAGTGCAAATTGATACAAATTCAGTTTTTCTAAGTACTGTCAGCATTTAGAAATCATTAACTAAACCATTAACAAATATTCAGGTCAAATGTAACTTTTGCCTCATGTCCCTTAATTAGAGTTCACTACATGCTGCAACAAGATTAAAAAATCACAAAGAAAAAACTTTTTTTGCTATTTTTTATGTCCTTATTGAGGGCTGTGCTCTGCGTCAATCCGTAGCTTAAGCCTTATCTCTGAAAATCAAGTCAGTGCTGCAGTCACTGAATACCAAGTGGAGTTACTGCTCCCTCAGTATTTAAGCAATGGTGTCAGAACACTATTTGTGAATTTCACCAATGACATGCATAAGACAGCACATGAACTTTTCCATAATGGTGCTACATTATTGTATTAAAAATGTGCATTTGTTCTATGTTAATGTCAAACTAAAGTTTACTATGATCATCACCTCCTTTTTATTATTGCAATCAGTTTTCAGGAATATACTGAATCCTATTAGGCTAAGCAGTCAGTCAAAGAAACGAAATATCAGTTCCCAGTAGCAGGCTATGCAACTTTCTTATTACATTAAATAGAGATAAAAACAATACAGCCATTAAAATATTGTAACAAAAGTTTTGGATGATCCTTTTGATATTATCAGTTCACTGAATAAAACTGAATATGGTTTTCAAAAGTTGCCACTAACAAAACTGTATGTCTTTCAGTTCCCTATTATACCCCTTTCTTCAAAAAAAAAAAAAAAAGGCATCTTAAAGCTATTATGCTGAAACAATAATGAAGGATTTTATAAACTTCTCTATCATTTATTGAGAGATAAGCACGGGCATTAGATACGGTAGTATTAAGACAACTGTCCAATTTGTGACCTAAGAAGAAACAGGCATTTGTATTTAGGGTCACCTGTTTCTGTAGAATAAACTCGAAAGCTTTTGTCCCAGAAACCACAGATAAGAATGTAGCGATTATCTGCTGTGACCACGAAGCAATGTGCATTGATCTGGATGCTCTGATCCACAAGGTCTGTGATCTGCCGTTTGTTCACACCAGAGTTATTGGCTGTAACAAAATGCAAAACACATTTTACAAGTAAGCCATTCCAACACCTTCCTGTCATCCACTTACAGGAGAAAATGAATACATTTAACTTTCAATGAACTGTGAATTTGTTGTTGAGTAAGCATTGTGAATATGAACATTTAGAGCTGTCTATACGGGTGTCAGGAATACAAAATTATTGTGAGATTTCTGGTTTCCCTTTGAATAAGACAAAAGATTGTACGGGAGACGACAATTTCTTATAAACTCCCTAATGCCCTGCATAATACATGGTAACATTTTAGTGCTCTGCTAAAGTACTCTCCAAAACCTTATTGAACTAGGGGAAAGTGATGGAAGTCCATTTAAAATACCAATATAAATAAAATATTAAAATACCAAGCTAACAATACGGCAGAAAGTCAATTATTGCTCGTTGGTACCTCTCCTACAGAAAATATCCCAGCTTGTGTTGTGTGACCTTGACATCCCCCATACATGCAGACTCTTAACTGGATCAAAGACACAAGGATTCAACCAGTGAAGCAACTTAAATTTCATGTGCTTTTTTTAACATTGTCTTCTCATCTACTCCTCAAGCCGTGGGCCCTAATGTTAAGAGAGCCAATGCCACCTCAAAATTCCTCCAGATAGAGGGAAAACGAATGGTTCATGCAGAATCCCACCACCCTCACTATCATATGGAGCTGTTAGGAAGGACTGGGAGTAATCAGCTAATGTGTAATATTTACGTTATTTACACAACTGACAGTATTTGGCAACACAATAAAGGTGTGTTCCTTTTCACCTAATGTTAACTTTTGAAAAGTTTAGGATATAATCTTAGTTAATTATCTACGCTCCCTTTATACCCACTGGAGAGAGAGAGATTTTGTTTCACATGGCAAGTCATATCTCGCTGTAATAGCTGTCCAAGTGCAGAAAACTCCAGAGGACAGTTTCTCTTTCTACAGCAGCTATGGAGAGAATTTTGACAACTACAGCTAATTGAAGTTCGGTGAGAAAAAACTCACTCTGAGAGACGTGTTTCTCCTACCATAGGAACACAACTTAATGCAGATAATAATCTGAAATTTCTTTTCTCCCTATTTTTGGTTATTCCCCTTAAATTGCTCACAACTGCATGAAATAAGAGACTCAACAACAACAAAAAAAAAAAAAACCCACCCTATTTTAAATTTGCTTGTATAAGTCAATACCATGTTTGTGTCCATTCCAAGAACACATATTTAAATTACCAGACCCTCTATATCCATCCACTGAAAGACAATGAATAACAATTACTTAAATTTCCAGAACAGGTGGGCACAGTAGTTGTGCCCTACCTTTTGAGAAGAAAATCTGAAGAGAAAACCATTGTCATTATATGAGCAAATGAAGCATACAGAATGAGAAAGCTAACTCTCCTGAGGTACTTGCATATAAATCTTTCAGCTGCAAATATTGACACAGACGAAAAAGGAACTTTTCATCTGGAGATGTTTAAAAATGCATTTTTTTCTCACCAGTGTTGCAAAATGGGCTCTAATAACGTTCCCTATCCACAATTTCTGTCTCAAAAATATATCTACTGCAAAAAACATAAGTAACCACAAAGCCAATAGTTGCAATTAAAGAGAAATAATGACCATTAGGAATACAAGTTCTGCAATCTATCTAACAGTTTAAGCAGATGTTATTTCTCAAAAATACTTCATTTTCTCAAATATTTTTGCATTTAAAAAATACAATCATGTGTCAATTTAAAATCCTGGCTTTTCTTTACTAATTTAGTAATGCCAACTAAAACAATCCTAATCATAAGTAGAATGAAAGAAACGGATCTGCATCTGCACTGATATGCACAGTGCTAGCTGGAAGACATAAAAATATGTGAACTCTACCAGACCCTCACATTTTATTTTACTAATGTGACCTGATAAGAGAACAGAATTATAAATATGGGCTGACAATGTAACTGACTTAATTGGTTGTTTCTTAAATACCAATTGCTGGTGATGTTAATAACAAATAGCACTCATGTAATTCATTCAGCATCAATAGCTACTGCTTTTAGCTCTCCAGGACTGGTAAGAATAAATATTTTCCTATCTTCCCTGTTAAATGAAGCATAATATACAAATATAGCTTAATCAATAATTCTTGAAAATGCCTTTTTCAAATATATCGCTACATGTTCACTTGACATACCAATCAATGGATCCATTTCTATTGGAAGATGGTGGGCTTGATCCAAAGAATATCCTGGGGCTCCCCGAAGGCCTAAACATGAAAAGAAGAATAAAGCACATAGGAACCTTGTTGTCTACATTTTTTATATGATTTTTCTAGGTTTAAAACTGCATTATAGGATTTTATATATATAAAAAAGTAACTTATTACTATTTCTTGTTCTATGAATCTTTTAAGATTCCTTCCTCTGTGCTACAGAAATACGCATTTGTTAATTCTTCAGTTATGTTAACAGTAACTACAAATGTATGAGTGCTAATTTCATAATGATTTCTGAAGCCACAAATGTTCATTAAATAACTCATTTAAAATAGTGTAACAGAGAAATTCTTTATATTTGAGCACTGGGTGAGATCTAATAATAGCACAGAAAGAAAAATAATTGGATTAAACATTGTTATGAGTTTCTTATACAGGGAAACCTGTAAGTGACAGAAACTTGGACCTGTTCATGGAATTATCCGGAGTTTTCATCTGGGAAAGTGTGGTCTACAGTAAATTTGCCACAATTATCCTTATTGCTTCTATCTTGAGCAGTCCTTAAGCTGTTCATCAGCAGCTCCATATTTAGTGTTATGTGCTCTCACGCACGGATAGCATTGCTTTGGCTCTTCTGAGCACCTTCCCTGTCATATAAATCATGATGGCCACTACTGAAAACATAATTTTTGTCAGGAACTTCATGTTGCACAAGAATATCCTCCATAAGAGACAGAGAGTTCTGGAGACTAAACTCTAAGTGCAAACTGATGACTGAGATAATTACGTTCTTGGGCCTTGTGTGGCTTAGTTCATATATCTAACTCTACTGCTTTCAGTAGATCAAAGATAATGATGAAAGCTTGAAGATATCCTGAAGTGCTGTGTTTTATGATGTCTACTTCAACCCCCAGTTAGAAGGAATTGCACTGAGAGGGCACTTGTTGTCCCATTCATTCCTTTAATTATTCCTTGTAACACCAGTCTTTGGACAGTCTTATGAAAAAGAGGTGGGATCTACTTCACCTGACTTGGATTATTTATTGAGAAGATGTTTACATTTAAGTCCATTGGAGGTAGACATCAAAACTAAATCTCGAAAACCCCTCTGCAGCAGGACCTATTTTTTCCAAAAGGTTCTCCTGGATGCAAAGAGGGGAGGACTTTTCTTTTTTTTGCTGAGTCCCTACAAAGTTCCTGAGTCAGCTCCTGAGTCACTCTCAAACACCAGGTACCTTCTTGTTTTTCCCAGGTGGTAAGAAACCTTCAAAAGTTTCCAGATGCTGCAACACAAGAGTTATCACAGCAGGAAGCTACCTTTGAAAACAAAACCTGTTAATTCTCAAGCAGGGCAGTAGCTCAAGGCCCCATCACCTGTTTAGCCACCCCTGGGACAACCTCACAATCTACATGTCCAGGTGAGGAGACGGGACAGTTCTAGCAGCAATATGGAGAGGTGAGCAGAGGGGCTAGAAGGGAAATTTGGAATGACCTAATTGAAAGGTCTTTTGGGAGGGAATAAGGAAATTTCTCTTCAGAATACTTCAGTGTCCAGCCGCTTTATGTTTGCTTAGGGTCCCACATTACCTGACAGTGACCCAGGGGAAGGCTGATGACAAGCTCCTGGACAGACCTGAAATCTCTCTCAAGCAGCAGACAGTGACGTACACTCTCTAGCATGCCAGTATGTGTTCCTGAAACCTGGGACATATTAATATTGGCTGTGTCAAGAACAGCAGCACTCCTGAAAACCATTATATCAAAGGCTGATCCTGATGTAACCACAAATCGATTGTCTGCCATGATGATGCGCTGCTGTTAGGGAGACTGTTTCTAGTAATGACACCAGAGAACACACAAGCTTTGATTATTTGACACAAACCAGAAAAAACTGTACGTTTTTGCTCACAGACAGGTGAGTGACATTAACCCACATCCAGCTAAACTGCAATCGAAACTAAAGCTTCATTATTAAGGTCTTCAGATTTGAATGAAACAAGCCTGTGAGAACCTACCTACTGTGTTGTGCCACCGATTGACTGCAAACAGCCTGCTGCAGGTGACAGTCACCACGGCAGGAATGGTGAGGTGTGGCAGTGTGTTGGCTGCCACATGTGTGACAGGGGAATTTGATGGGAACTTCAGCACCATGATGACATCCTGCTGCATCTGATCTTTAAACATGAGGGGGCTCTGTGGAAGGAAACACTGTTGAGTAGAAAGGAGAAGAGAGAAGAAGAAAACAGAAGGGATAACACAATTAGTGAGGAGGTCCAAGGGAAAATGAGGTTAAAAAAGAGCAGGCAAGCATGTGCACATACAAGGAAAACAAAGCTACCTGTGTATCTACACTAGTGATGGAGGAGAGCAAGATCAGAAGCTATTATCAGATCATCACACGAGGACAAGTAGACAATAGGTATGGCAAGGGTTATCGTTACAGGGCGCAAAATTAGACGATCAGCATTAATTCATATACAGGAAAATGTAAAATTATACAGCAGTTCATATTAATACGATAGAAATATGAGTCAAATAAAAGAGTTAATTAATCAATACATCACAAATATAAATGCTACAAACTAAAATGGTTGAAAAAATAAATTTTAAGAGGGAGCCAAACTCACAGATATTTAATTTTTCTTAATGAGTTCTTTATACGAAATACAGCACTTCCAAACTTAGACAATTTAATCCTATGTAAAGCATATATTTTTTAGGGTGTCCGTAAGTATACACCTACAAGTGACACAGCTTTTTGTACATGGACAATAATACTAAGTACTTTTTTTTTTTCAACCACTGTTATAACAAATAGAATTACCTCTAGAAGTTCCAGTAATACTTTCTACTTATCACTTTAAATTGTTATTGAAAATATATTATCCATATCTTAACAATATAAAATAAATATCATATAAATTTGACATCTACACAGCTAACGTTTCCAGATCAATTTCCACTTTTGCAGTGTGCAACTAGATAGAATGATTTCCGTACATAAAATGATTGAAACTACTGCACATATTACTGTCGATTTACAAAACTTAAAAGAAAATATATAGCTCTAAGCATTTAATCAAATGCACTGAGGGGCACAGCGATCTGTCTCTTTCTGTCTGGCTGTTTTATATAATTTTTTGCAAGAAGCACAAAGAATGCTTTAGGGAATTAAGTTTGGAGTTCAAACTGAAATTCAAAATATACATTGCATTCTCACAGGAGAACAGGAAGAAGGAAGGATTCCAGCATGATTTGAACTCCAGTACTTCATTTCTGTCAAGCAGGTATTGTTCATAAATCAGCTCCTAACAATGCATCCTTTAAACCAAAACAAAATAACATGCTCACTCTAAGAAAAGCCTGCAGTCATTCCCACTATGTGCAGAAACAGGAATGTAAATATGTATTTATCAAGCATATTATTTATGAAGATAGGGCCTTTTAATACAATATTAGGCAGGAAAAGTCAAGGAATCTAAAGGAATCTAAAGCTATTCGAGCCTCCATCTGTCTCTGCTAGCACACTGTGAGCTGTTTCTGCCAGGAGAAAGTATGTCTGCATGGACAAAGAAGGGCATTAAAAGTGTTGCTTAAATCGGTATTTTATGACCTACTAAGGATCCTCAGGTTCAAAGGGAATGCACTCCCGGACAGCAGTTATGTCTCACCAGGTGCATGGCGGAGCTCCGAGGTGGATGGGGCTCAATGAGCAACTGTGATGGCGTCTGTCCAAAATTCTGTATCTGTGCCTCCATGGCCTGCAGGCAAGGGAGAGGGACTGTCATGAGCAATATGCATCAAGGAGAGAGGTCAACACACTGTGTGACAATGCAGGCATATCCCAAGTCAGCCATGAAAAAAGTCCAGAATATTCACCCGGTGCTCTCCTCCCAGGCTGCAGACTCATCCAAGTGTTAGTATTTTGTAGACAAGCTTTGTTCCTTTCAAGCATGCTTCAGTTAACCAACTAACCATTCTCATTTCCAGTAACTGGCATTACATGTGAAAATGTTAACCTGTGAGGACATGCAGTTCAGGTCTTGAGAGAGGTTTTTTTGCACTAAAAATAACATATATACCTTAATAAAGTCCTTTGTAAGGAGGAAAGTATGAGGGTCTCTAATAAAATAAGCCTCTGGAATCTTAAATGGGGGGAAAGAAAAGCAAACTGAGGAACAAAATTCATGTAAAAATATAATGAAAACAAAAGAATTACTATTTCAACAACAACATTAGTAGGTTAAAACAAAAAAATTCCAGAAACAAATCTTACCAGGTAAATTCAGACCAACATAAAAATCTTTCCAAGTTGTACACATTCACTGAGTGTTCATTTCATGCTTAATTTTATTGTATTTTTTCAGGAGCTTCCAGGCTTCACAGGTTTGAAATGAAAACTTAGCAATTTCAATGCATTCTTCAAGACTTAAATCTACTTTCAGAATAAATATGGAATAATTTGATAGGGAGTAGAATACAGCCCATATACTGAGATGCTTCCACTACTAAAACAGTTCATTCAAACAAAAATATATTTAAGGTATATTCTTAAAAACTTTGTCAAAAGATTGCTGCTTGTAAAAGAACACTACTTATTTTTCAAATAGACATGTACTACTTTATTTGACCTTATAAAATAAAGAATAAAGTGTTCATAGAAACCTAAACTGGCAGATTCTGAAATGCACTGTGCATTATGTACCTATATATATATTGTACCTTGCACTACTGACCCTTAATATTTTTCTTGCAAGCTCTATGAATTTTTCATTCACTACCACACAAGAAACATGAAAAAACACCAAAAACGTTACTATCTTGGTAAATTATGTTATTTCTTTCAGACATAAAATGGTAAGAAACACAATAAATACTTCATGATATGGAAGAATCTTTTAAATCTACATATTTTGTAATTCTTATAAGCCAATCTGGGTTTTCCTCTTCTTCACAGCATAGATGCCAGAACAGATCTTAGAGAGAGATTTCCTAACAGGTCACTAATATCTACCATGCTTGAGGCCCTATAACTTGACATGTATATAATGGAATACCACAAACAAACATTTGGTGAAAAAGAAATTTCATTCAAAGTCCAGTCAAGTGGCTGAAGGAATTTCAATGGATGGTAACCCTAGTACATTTGATGCTGTAATTATCCCAGTACAGGTGATTTCTTTTTTGTTGACTAATTCAAAGTCTCCAAGGCACAAAGTGTTTCTTGGGAACTGATGAGTATCTTGTGTTTCATTAACATACTTTAATTATGAATTATTTTAAATCACAGTGTAATTTTATACAAAACCAATGCAGCTGTGTGGGTGTATGTGTGTACACGTCTATACAGCAGCTATCTGTATGTAGCATATTAACAGTATCTCTACACGCTGTGTAGATGGCTTAACTCATGCAGACACTTTTTATAAAGGAATATAAAATTCACTGCAAGTCAAATCAAAGGTAGTATTTTCTGTGACATTTGGTACTCTACAACAGATTTGTTCGGTGGGGAAAATGGAAGGAAATTATACTTGTGTGTGAATTTAATCTTCAAAATGACAAACATTATTATCGACAATATTAGGCACTGCATTATATATGTTTCCATGTAGGTCTGTCAATAGTAGCTTGAGAAAAGTAATTTCCATTTTTATTTTTTTAAATAATTATCAAGGTTAATTTAATTTTAATTTTTGAAAAAATTCTGTGTTGAAATAAGAGTGTGAATTATATTTGTCAGCAATACTGAACAAAACCCAGCTCTTCCTCTCCCACCCTTTATAGTGATCCCTTAAATGATACTTCTGTTCTCTCACAGACACAGTGAAATTAATCTCGCTTTTTTATTTTTTCAGTCAGCCCAATTCTAATTTACACATTTACTTTTAAGTTGTCCAGTCTTGGCAAATTCTGATTTTTTGACTAAATTCTGCACACATAAACTTTGCTGGCTTTGCCTTCCAGTTCAGGTAGATTTATGATAGTAACAGAGGACAAGAAAGAGAAGCAGAATACGATAATAAACCACCATGAATTTTTCAGATGGTGAGGAACGGACACTTATAACTGTCAAAAGGAACTGTTATTTTACAGCTGAAGATGTTCTGGTAAATACTCACTTACATGCTTTACACGCCCATAATTTAAAACATTTAAGGTAATGCCAAATCCTTCCCTAACCAGAACTAATGCAGAATCAAGACCTTGATATTCAGGGAATACGGAATATTTTTGCTGGCTTGCACTTACAAAGACCACTGTCTCTCCCCCACTCCGTGGACAGTAATGTTACCCTTTTCTTTCAAAAATACCATTTGTAAACCTGACAACTCTTGGAAGGGTTAAAGAAACTGAACAATGTTTCTTTAAAAATACTCCTAGTGTTCAACTACTGCACTGAGGCTGTAGCCTGCACAACACCACAGCTGTGCACAGCTACAACTGGTATTCCTCTCCAGAGCCCACAACACTTAAAAAGGACAGAAAAACCTTGTCAAAACTTACACAGAAGATAAACATAAGCATACAGAGATAAAGTGACTGGCCCAAGGATATTCCTAATGCTGCCTCTTATCAGATGACTTGACACAAAATGAAATGCAGGTACAGAACAGATCTGTGAATAATAGCGTAATACATTGATTTGTTTACAAGAGAACTCTGTATCTGAAATTAATCTGAAAACTGGTTAAGTGTACACTGCAGTTTTTCTTGAACTGCAAATCATCAAACTTTAGATTTATTTAATGTTCTTAAATATTTCATTCTAAGTAATCAGTTCCTTTTCTCACATCAGATCTCGAGTACTGTGAGTAAAGTGCTACACCACTCCCTGAGACACACATTCTAGTCAATTTAATACAAATTTCAACAAAATAAAGTTTATTCTCATTTCACCTTCGAATGTCCTTCATGTAGAAACAATGTAAGCTTGGAATTCAGCGGGTGCCAGATTTAATGCTTTTGGAACAGCAAAATGGCAATTATATTAGTTTTCACTTTCTTAATAAGTTGTTGCATAAAAGTTATTTAGTGAGCTGATTTGAGATTCCCTACTGTTTTTAATACACATAAAATGAGATTTGTACTCCAGACACTTCAGGGACTATCTGTTAAATGGGTCCTAGGTTATTATCTGATAACCATAGGTCAGAACAAGGAAACAAAAAATATCTGAAAACTTGATGGCAATTCAAAGCTTAAAATGAGTTGATCTCACACATCCTAATTTATGCAATCAAACAAAACACAACTTCATAGCACTTAATATTGGCCATTTTTTTGCCAAGAAATCAATACATAAAATCATACAATCTAATGAATGTTCATAGCCTTAGTTACAAAAAGTGATACCCTAAATATATTTTGCTCAAAGGAAATCATAGAATGATAGAACGGTTTGGGTTGGAAAGGACCTTAAAGATCATCAAGTTCCAACCCCCCTGCCATGGGCAGGGACACCCTCCACTAGACCAGGTTGCTCAATAAATTATTTGGTTCCAAATTTTACATATAAAGGCAGACTGTACATTCACAAGGATACCGGGATGTTCCTCTGCAACTTGGAGAATCAGTCCTTAGTGTCAGCTTCTTGTGGAATGAAGGGTTCAATACAACTGCTTTGCTCATTATGCAGCCTACCAAAGTATTTGGCTTTCATTTCTTAATTCTGGTTGAAAGAAACACAAATCTGCCACTAAACAATTCAAGCAATCTCTTTCTCTAGGTATAAGAAATAGTTGCAGAAGGTAAAGGCAGTGACTGGGAGAAGGAAGAACCGCCAGCTGTAGGAGATCAGGTTCGAGACCATCTAAAGAACCTGAAGGTGCATAAGTCCATGGGACCTGATGAGACACATCTGCGGGTCGTAAAGGAACTGGCAAATGAAGTTGCCAAACC